ATATATATATATATATATATATATATATATATATATATATATATACACGTTCCAGTTGTTCATTTTTATATTTGGTTCAAGCTAGAAAATCATTCAACAGAACTATTAATTCATTGCGATCCTCTAATTGTTTCGAGCAATATGTAATTGTATGTTTTGTAATTGTTATTATATTATATATTTGACGCGAGTCACTGCGTCTCTCGATGCGCATTAGAATTACGCATCAGAATGAGCGAAATTTGCGATCACTTCGTTTCTGATAAATAATTCGCGTAGTTCGCGACCGTAATCTTCTACATTCTTCACGCATGTATTCACGGATGAAATTTCCGATGATTACGCGTGATACGATAACATACGATTATTAAAGCAATTATTAAATTAAAAAAAATTCAACTAGCTAATTATATATTTTGTTTGTTTATGCGACTGTTATTATTACGATCTTCACATTTTGCAGTTTTTAATCGTTTATGTATACATTTGCGTCGCGATTCTGCTTGCTTTATTCGCGTACAACGGTTCTTCAAAATAGAAAGTCTTCCATTACATTAAACTTCGCCGCTCTCTCCGCATTATTGATCCGAAAACAGACTTCGTGAATAATCTTGTATGGCGTTGATTGTTTACGCTATCATCGCGTTAAGATCGCAGTTTTGTTCGCGAGTGTTTACGAGATTTCGAGATATATCGGGCCGCGAAAAATTTCACGATATCGCCATGATTTATCGTAATATTTATGTTTACGTTTGCGTCGCGACTCTCTTGTGTTGCTTTGCTCGCGCAGCGTTCTCCTTCGAAATACAAAATCTTTCGTTATGTGGAACGTTATGTGTTAATGGAACTTCACCGAATTATCAGTTTGAAAGTAAACTGCGCAAATAGCCGGTATAGTCTCCGCAGAAATATTGCGGAGCTGTCTTCACAAAAGGAATGCTACATGGCGTTAATCTTTTACGCCATTATTGCGATCGCATCTTTAAGGTCGCATTGTTTTTATTCGCGAGTCACGAATGTTTCCAAGTATCGGGAAGTGTCATATCGTAAAAGACACTTATTTAACAGACTTGTATATGTCGATTTCACTTTCGCGTTTCGCTGATCAAATTCGTAAATCTTGTTCCGACACAAGTTGCAGCATTCCGTTGATACAATTACGTTCGCTATAGTTATTAAAGTGTGAACATCAGTCGCGTCGCGAACATAGTGAAGTGAAGTGCAATCAACAACCGGCAGAGCAACGACCTTCATCGATGGATCTGGCTAGACTTGACTGGTGGATTTGAGATGTTACGGACTTGTTGGTTCTAAACGTCGCGGGACGTCGATAGATTTCAACGCTAATTGGTGAGTGCTACATCCAACGCTTACAAAGTATTATTATACAGAGTACTTCAAGAAAAGTGTTAACGATTATACAGAAGTAACTTTTTTTCCATATAAGTATCAGTTTCTTTTAAGTAAATTCCCGATATATGCGTTAATACTTTTTTGAAGCACTCTATTCTGCATAATGCATGAGTAGAAATCGCATTAATCTCCAACTTAAAGAATAAGGGCTTTTGAAGTATATATCGAGTTGATCATTCAAAACTTCGGTGCAATTAAAAAAAAAATAGATTATTGATAAGTATACAAATAATACAGAGAACAATGCAGACAATATCTATGCATTAAACGTTCCCAAAGGGTTATAAACAACGATAATTGATAATTTGGTTGATTTTATTTCATTGCAATGCAATTGAGTTAATCCCGGTAAGAAATGTACCAAATGTTTTGACTGCCCAATATTATTGCCCTTATAACATTTGTGATCATGATATGACATTACTCGAGCCAAAATTTAGAATCTACCATGTCTCAGCAGTTGTCTGCTCTTCCAATAATGTTCCTTGGGCTGTAGGTTCTGTTCGAATCTGCCAATGCCTTTTTTTTATTTCTGCTTAATATTGCATTGAATCCAAATTTAAATCTACATCGGTACTAATATACAACTGCTATCTTTGTATTTATAATTCTTTCTTTCTTATTCTTTTTCAATTTTTAAATTTGATTAAAAATTTCATGACGACACACATACACACTTTTTTCAATATTTTTTCCCACATTGTCTTGAATATACTGACTGTCTTGGGGGTTAGTCATCGGTGACTAACATTACTATATTGTTGCATTTTATTTAATTGACACATAAACATAAGGAAAATTACATATAAAATAACGATAATTCAATATATGAGTCGATGAAACTATCTAATATACATATTCAACGCAAATGGCATTTATTTATTGTATTTTTAGTGGCTTAGACTTTAATTGAACTTTGAAATAATGCAAATCAGTCAATATGTTAATGTAGAATCTAAATTTCGACTCGAGTGATATATATGATATGATTATATACATGATAATATTTTATGATATTGCAATTATATATATTTTTTTTTATTATGATTATATATTTGATAAAATTTTATGATATTATGATTTTATATTTTATATTTTTAAGGTTTTTATATTTTTGATATTTAATGATATTATGATTTCTTGATAACATTTTCAACACAATTTAATACTCATATAATATATATGGAATATTATCCGCTTATTCTAGTCCGCGTATGCGGATTACCCGGATAATCCACATAATATCGAATGGTATGAATTTTCATTTAACTTATTGCGTACACAGAAGAAAGAAATTCTCTTGGAAAGTATCTTTGTTTTTGACATGTTCAATTTTCAAATAAGATTACAGCTGCATCAATACGTTTTATATTCAACAGATAATTAAATTAAATAATTTAAAATAATTAGAGATAATAAAAGATAATTAAAAATAATAAATAATTTAAAATAATTAATTTAATTAATAATTTATTCAAGATGACAAAATTCTTCTAACGAAGTTATTTTATTGCTTATATATGAAACAATGATATTAATTTTAGTATATCAGTTTTAAGTGGATATAGGAGAATCTAGGACATAACACACGCATACACACACACACACACACACATACTTAAAACTATTATATTTTCAATCTAGTGTTTCGTGCTTTCCATTAATAAAAATGATTTTTAAATAACAAGAGAGCACAGATTGAAAGTCCTTCGTTAAAACATATAAAGTATATTCTTGCAACTGTGACTTATCTTCGTTTAATATCATGCAACTTCATTTGAAGATTGATATCAAAAATAAAAATTCAAGAAATCCTTGTTTTCTAAACAAAAATGTCTCTTTTCTCTGTGCATAATTTATGTCTCTTCAAGTAATGCAACAAGTAACTAGGCGAGTATCTAGATGTTCTGACTTCTAGCGTTTTGCGTGAAATCATGAAACGACGCGAAATACGTGATTCGGGAGAGAACGATTTAAGATCTGTCGAAGAAGCGGCAATAACCCACTCAGTTACCATGACTCTGTTTGGTTAACGCTATTGGCGCGTGAAGTTACTTCGCCTTGCGTACGACAAAGTTATTAAATTCATCAGTGAATCGTGCCGACACAATAGCTCGAAGAATTGAATCAAGACGCGCGAAATCAATGCGGGAGGGACGAACAATCGACTAACTGAATAATTGACTTAAGACTTCGCCGCGGGCGCGCGAATAAATTCGCGCAACCTGCGTCGAATCGACGAAAGGGATGTCAAACCGCCGCGGCGTTCCGCCCTTCCCACCTGCCCCTCGCCCCGCGTAAATACGCTCTCTCGCGAGGTGCGCATTGATAGCCAAACTTGAAAGCAGCAAGTTTCGCAGGCGAGCGCACAATGTACTTTCGCGAAATACAATATCGCGTGAGCGCGTGCGACACTTAGCGTCAGCCGTCGAAAACGTCGCACAATACCGCGTTACGGTCGTGTAGCGTTGCGAGGGCGATTAGATCTCCGTTTCTGGCGCCACGTATCCCCCGGAAGGAAACGACCTCGCGAAGTTGCCGAAACATTCAGACCGACGGCCCGCGATCTCACTGTTGCTCGCTACGCGAACGGGGAAAGTAGTTATCGCGAGACGCGCGGCTCGGCGGACGACTCGCGATATTTTAACGCGGCCAGCCTGCTCCCGTTTGTGCCGTTTGTGCCTGCTCTCTTCTGTGCCATGCGATTGAATGTACGATTCAGAAATAATTTCGCAAAATATGCTCGTATTTAACTGCGACGCGCATTTAACGGTCGCAGTGCAGCGTTGGGCGTAAATCGCTTGAAGTGTTTTTTGACTGAAATAATCGTCAAATCGATAATCAGAATTATAATCAACCGTCATATTTGTAATCATGAATAATTCAATCAATTAGTGAAATTTATTAGTGTCTATAATATAAATTATACACTAATTAGTTAGTGAAAAATATTGATAAAATTAATTAGCATAGGATTACGTCAAAGTTCGATAAATAATTAATTTTATCGATTGATGAAATTATTTATGATTTTGTATACGACAATTGATTAATTTGATTATAGATTTGCCGATTATTTTAATCAAACAACATTTTAACCAATTAATATTCAACATTAGTAGAAATCTCTTACAGGAATCTTTCTGCTCCTACAACTGACTTTTTCATCTGTTTCTTATTCTTATTAGCAGACACTAATCAATTGTAAAAAATATTCTTTGATCAAAATAATCAACAGATTAATAATCAAAATTAATAAATTGTCACACATGTAATCACGAATAGTTTAATCGATTGAAGATATTAATTATTAATCAGCGTATAATTAATCACATCAAAGTTTGATTAATAATTAATTTCATCAATTGAAAAAATCATTTGTGATCTTACATATAACGATTAATTAATTTTGATTCTCAATTTGCAAAGATTATTTTAATCAGATGAAAATTTTAATTGTTTAATGCCTATCATTGTATGCAAATATGCAGCAGGGACGTTATATTAACAATTCTATCCTAGACGCTTTGTTTCACGAGGTATTTATTCTTCAGGGAATAGAATCATCGATATCATAAAAATTCGCGGAGAATTGATTCGCAACACCGACGGGCACGCGTCACTAAACGTCGGAATAAACTTCTAATGCATGTCGAATACTCTCAGCTTCTCTCTTTCTCTCCCCTATCGAGTCTATCGAAAAACAGAGCTCGCCAATTGGATCGAGGCCATCGCTATGCGCGCGGCAGCGATGATGACGCTCTGCCGGTGTCGGCGATGTTGTTGGCGGTGTGGTGGTGCACCGTCAGTGGTGCAGGCCCATTGTTCATCAGACACAAAACAGTCGGCGTACAAAGTGGCTGCTGCGTTCGCTGCGGAGAAGGCGAAGCCGAGGCGAGTCGCTGGGCGACGCGGGGAACGGAGGCGGATGGGATGGGAGGAATAGTGCAGCGCGATAGAGAGAGAGAGAGAGAGAGAGAGAGAGAGAGACAGAATAGCGTGGAGTCGAGAGTGGTGATCGCGAGAAAGAGAGAGAGAGAGAGAGAGGAGGAAGACGGAGGTAACGAGAGAATCACAGTGGTATCAGAGGGTGGGTATTGTCTACACAGAGCTAATCAAAACCAGCCCTTTCAACACACCCTTCCCCTTAGCCCCTTCGCGGACCAACACATGCGCGAGGTAGCCGCGTACGCACGGGATGCTGTGCACGAACACACGCGCGCATGTACGCGGCTCCACGTAAATAAGAGCGCGTACGAAGGCGAATTCACGAGCGGAGTGAATCCGTCACTTCGTGGATTTTGTTTTGTGCCGAGGCCACCGAAAGTTGAACGTGAGCGAAAGTCACTGGAGCACGTGTAAATGTAAATTTTAATTCGGAACACCCGTGCCTTTTCATTCAGGCTTCCTCGCCTGCAGGATCATCGGGGATTGCTTAATCACAGGAGCTTTATAGGGAAATCCATCCGCCGGTTTCTCTCTTATCGGCGCGTAAATCTGGAATCGCGCGGCTATCTATCGGTGTCCCGGGCGTTCGTAAATATTTCAGCGTGCACTTGACTTTTAGGCCGCGAGTTTATAAGTGCGCGCACGCGCGTGCCGAAGTGCACGGCGAAAATTCGCGCGTCGGAGAATATGCGCGGCAGGTACGCGAGAGAGCGTGAATATATTCGCACTTGCTATTTATTCCCGCGCGTGTACGAGCTCTACTTATCGCCCGTGAGTTATTGAGTATACACCCCCGGAGTTAGAGCTGAACGTGCTCGTGTATGCATTTCCAATTCTTTACTGTCAATAATACAATTTGCTCTGCCCAGAAAATATAATCTCATTTTTAGCGGAATTTCTTTAGTATATGAGAATTTAGAGAATATTTCTTTCTCTTTTCTTTAAGAGAATTTTTCTAAAATTAAAATGAAAATAATTGGAAGCACAAT